TTGAATTTATCATTTAAAGATGTAGTACTTCTAACCTTGATGGTGATGAGCCAATAAAATGACACTTCATTTGGTTTAATATTTCCTCTTGGCGTGCCCTTAGAGTACCCAGCTCAGAAGTTAATGTTTTTATCTGTATCTGCTGATTTGCTACCTCAGTTTCAGTNAAAACTATATAAAAGTGAACTTTTTTGTCACTAATAACAAATGTTTGATGACGTTTATATTCGTATTTGTTTTAGATTGACGTAATACGAATTTGAAATAACATAATAAAACAATCAACGTAATAACATAAAAATAAAAACAATCAAAGGTAATAACAAAAATATTCACCATTGATCATAAAACTAATATTAAAACTATATTGAAATAAAAGCTCCTTAAATTAAAAGAAACATAGTTAAAGTAAATATGTCCAACGTAAAAGTCTAATTGAGAAATATTACTCCTAAACTAGGACTGAGAAGTAAGTCTAATTGAGAAATATTACTCCTAAACTAGGACTGAGAAGTGGAGCAATGCAGTGACACTTCACTTGCAATTAGTCTTGATCCAATAGTTTCCTCCATATACCTGTATAAAAGATAGAGAAAAAATTATGATTTAAGTTAATACTTTATGGTATCATGGTATAAATAAGATATAATTGGTATAAACTACAACTTCTTGTTAGACGTAGAGTTTAATTGGTGAAACAAATAAATAAATTGTGATACAAGTAAATAAAAATGAGAAAAAAATTAAATAGTGTGAAGTTTAGTGTACCCAAAGTTGATAATCTGGTGGGGCTCAATCTTCACTGTATCATTAAAAAAACATTCGAACTTAGATGCTAAAAGAATTATACTTGAATTTATCATTTAAAGATGTAGTACTTCTAACCTTGATGGTGATGAGCCAATAAAATGACGCTTCATTTGGTTTAATATTTCCTCTTGGCGTGCCCTTAGAGTACCCAGCTCAGAAGTTAATGTTTTTATCTGTATCTGCTGATTTGCTACCTCAGTTTCAGCTACATTCAAACGTTCTTGTAAACCATGTTGGGTAGTAGCAGCATCCTCTTTTGCCCTCCTAAGAGCATCCTCTAATTCTGTTGTCCTTCTTTTTGTTGTTGTAGTTGTATTAGGCTTTGGACCATAACCAAGACCTTTAATATATCCCGACCTTGTACCAAGTACATTATCAACAATTTCATCAATAGTCATTGGATTCTCTTCAGAAACAGACCGAGCTCTCAAATCTCTCATTTTGTTCTACATAAAAATATTATATCAGTTAAATTAATTATAAGATAGAATGAATACATGTGACATGTTACTAAAATATTACTTACGTAGTTAGTCTCAGCCTCTGGAGATGACCATCCTTTTTCACTCGAGTAATGGGTACTTTTGTAGAACTCAATCCTATTTGGCTCTACTCCTTCATGTTCCTTCACACCCTACACAATATGAAAATAATATGAAATATTACTAAAATATCATCTTAGTAATGAATGCCTAGGGTGATTGAACCTCAACCACATTGACATGATTAGATTACAGGTTCAACAAAAGGTAATGAATGTATGTAGATCAAAGCTTTTTACCTATACCAACTCCTGTCAAGGCAACCATTTTTGAGAGTTTTGTAAGACAGAACATTGCAGAGTCAGAAATTGATGTGACAAGTAACATTAGACAACTAATGAAGAGTAGTTATGGCTTCCCAACTAACAACAAGACAGAATTTTTATATGTTGACTGCCCTTTTATACAAAAATAAACTCAGAGAAAGGAAACAAATAAAGGTTTTATATCAGAAAGCTCAATATATTTTAAGAGCCTTAAAATACTACTACTAACAGTTGTTATAGAATACATGACGCAGACATAGAACTGGTTTTCCTTGTTATTAAGGTCCTAGATGTGATACTAATATTTGATAATTAAAAGTTTAACTAAAGCATGCTGACAAAGATTTAAAGAAAAGTAAAAAGAAACGAAAGAAACAAGTTGCACAGAAACGTCCCCACCTCTCAATTACCAATTCACCATGACTTTGTTCACTATAAATTACATCTCAAACTTAGAAATAACTAAATAGGCTTCAATGTTTCACAACAGACTCCCATTGATCCTTGGGACCCTTTCTCATATTCCCGTGGTCCAAACATTGATCCAAAGTCGAATATGTAACTCCACCAAAGACCCTAAACACGCATCTAACTATCTAAGTTATTCTTAATACAAAACGAGTTCAATCAAACATCCTAAATGCAGCCTCTCTAGTTCATTTCATATTGTCGACAACTTAAACCAGACAAAGAAGGAAAAAGAGCAGTGATTCAGATCATTGTTGACTTTAATAGAAGCGTGACTTTCTTACATGGGCAACTGGAGGGCATGATATCTAGATGACTGCATAACATATACAAACAGATAAAAACTTCTTATTTATGAATAGCTTTGGTGTCTGGTTGTGAAAATATTTACACATATGAGGCAAGGTTAGTTTCAAAGAGTCAAGTACTACACATTAAGCAGGTTCTCTATTTTTTATACAAATGATAAGTTTCTCCCATTTTAGCAATTCTCATCCCACACATCTGACTTTCTAATGTAGGCAGGGATCATAGATCTCAAGCAAAAAAAAAAGCAAATACAAAGGAAGAGGAAGAACTGACACAGAATGCTTTCCGAG